GAATAGAAAAGAAGATGAATTAGATGGAAACTTAAGAAAACGACGACTCTGCGTGGTGTTACAAGACCGGTGGCGGGGACGCAGTGATGGCGGCAATATTGTGTTGTTGTTCGTCGGCCAAAGCTTTTGACTATGGATGAGTGAGCGAGCAGGCGGAACGACTAGGAACGTTCCGAATCTCCGAGAGACCGTGTCGCAGCAAACGACCAACAAAACGATGGAAAAAAAAAAACGGCCAAGGAAAATAATATTAATACGTCATAAGGAACGCGCGTGACGACGTCCGCCTCCGCCGATGCCCGCAACGCCACCTACCTGTTGCGGAGTACCTGCGGAGCGACGTCGGGCGCTGCTGTGCCAGTAATGTCATCGCTCCCCGAGGCCTTCCAAAACTCTGTGGCGTAGAGGTCGTTCGCCCCCGCCACCGAAGACTACGACGACGTCCGAGTCCGTCGAGCGAGACGAACGCTGCTGCTGTATGAGTATACATTCTTGTACCGCGGTTTCGGCGTGGTAGCCCGGTCGAGGAGCGGGTTCCGCGAAACACTTTGCAGGGGACGAGTTCCGGAAAAAATTTTGACAACCAGTACACCCCCCCCTCCCGCGGGGTAGCACGCACGTAAATGGTTGTGTAAGTACATTACACGCAGAGCGGTTCACCCCAATCGTGTTTAATCTGATAATTATTATAGTTTATTCAAATTATGACGATTTTTGGAATTTGTAAGCATATATTTACATAATTAATAGAGGACCATAGGTATTTATAAGATTTGAGGATTTTTTTTTTTTTAAATCAACCTTTTTTCTTGTTAATTGTTAGTTATAGATGACTTTTTTGTAAATGTATCTAAATCAGAATTTGAACATATAGTTTCTAAGTTATTAGTATGTATATAACTAAGGATAATAGTAGGTTCTTAAAAACCGTTACACACAATATAAAACAGATATGTAGAGAGATTATCTTATACTGGATCTATTATTTATTAATTACTTAAGTTTTAAAATCTCCATAGCCTACATATGTCTTCCAAACCCATTATATCATAGTACACAAAGTTAAAAAAAACTCAAAAACTACTCGTTTGAATTTCGATGTATATATCGACATTTTCAAGTCATCTGATTAACAATTTACAAGAAAAATAGTGGTTCTCTTTTGAAAAAAATAAAGATGATAATATAATCACCGCATAACGCTTCTTTGATTGTAAGACAAAACTATGTACTTGAAAATATGACCCTCAAGTGTATATACCTATATAAATGTTTTAAATATCAGGATTTGAATGATTTCATTAGGTATTAAAAAGAAAAAATGGGGTGATCATGCTTGGTGATTCGTCCTGCATACTAAAATTTCAAAGGGGAGGGGCGCTGCCGAGGACTAAACTAAGTGACTCTTGATCTACAAACGTGTTTCATTGTCAGCTATAGTTCGTGTTTTTGAATATTAATAGTCCCTTAGAATATACGGCTTACTAGAAATAAAAATAAAAATCTGAATAATGCGTAAATAATGCATTAATCCACATCGTTATTCCTTAACCACACGTAAAATACGGAATCGTTTCTTATCCAACCGATACTAAAATCTAAGTAATCTTACGAGTTTTTTTATAACATTCTGCACACGTGAAATATATCACAAATTATAATATCACCGACACCATTAGTACTAAATAAGTATCTATA